TCTCTGCCTCTCTCTCTCTCTCTCTCTCCATATATATATATATATAGAAAAGATTTTGAGACCATCAAGATAATTCAAGCTGTGTTGAATTGACTTAGATTAAATCATTTGAACCCTTTTAGCAGATTTTAGTGGCTTAAACCTATCGATTCGCCTAAGCGGTGCATGCAGTAGTAATTTGAAGTTATGCAGACCTTTTTTTTCTTGTGATATCTTAGATTTTGCTTCTTTTTTTATATTTAATATTAAAAGCAAAAAAAAAAAATTAGAACAAAAATGCTCAGTGAACTAAACAAAATGACTTTTATAGATGGTTGAATGTAATGATCAAAATAAGGACAATTTAAAAATGTCATTTAATATTTAATGCTCATCTCTTTTTACAACTAGTTATGCTAATAAGAGAAAACTACAAATATATACACTCATTTGCCAATTTTATTTCTGAATACTAAATGATATTGTAAAACTTCCTATAGCTTTGTGGATATTATAAGTTTTTTGTATTATAAAAACACTCAATAAGTTTGGTTTAACTGTAGCAGATGCCGAAACCTAAATTTAGAGTAAATTTTAAATGAAAATAATATTATACAAATAGCAATCTAAACATTCTGCAAAACTTCTTTCACTTCTAAGATACTAATTTTTTTAAGTATTGACTTATGATTTGAGATAGGTATTTTGATAGGACTTATATAAAACTGATATTCTTAAAGGGTTATGTATACTAAGATTTTAAGAGTCACAAATATTTCTTTCGCTTGATTTATAATTATTAGTTTGGCCGTGCTAATGTATGTCTTTCATCAAACTATGCTTAAAAACATTTATCAAAATTAGTTTGATTTACAAGTTAATGCAATTTATTTAAGATATAAATCTAGTTAGTTAGATGCAAATAATTTTAGGCATGCTGATGGATAAATGTGCTTCTAAATATAAAACCAACAAACCCAATGAATATAAACATTAAAATACATTATATTATATAGAAGTATTACATTTTATTAAATAATAATATTCATTCGTAAAGCAGGCTTGCTCCCTATATTCGACAAAACAACAACAACACCCAGCTAACTCGCAGGCCCAAGCTGCCTTAGTCTTCCCCGTCATCTCCATTTACTAAGATTTATCTCATTTAGGGCCCGTTTGGTGCCGTAGAACAGTTGCGGGGCGTTTTCAAAACATCGACATTGGTGTTTGTTTTCACTTTTTAAGCTGTGATGCGGGATAAGCTGATTTTATTTTGTATTGCACTCTGCCCGTGAGTTCGACCCTCGTCCCATGTTCGAAGAAAATTTTTTACGGCCCTGCCCTCCCTGCGGTCGCGCGTTCGGTGTTATTCAGGGTATTACTCGCGCGGTCACGCGTCCGCTGATTCCCGGCGTTATTCGTTGTGTTACTCAAAGTGTTATTCACGGTATTATTCACTCGGTCTAGCATTCGTTAATTCCAGGTGTTATTCGCGGTAGTTATCAGATATTATTGCAAAGTTATTTGTGTCTTGTGCTAGCCATTGATTCGCGGTGTTTTGTGGTGTTATTTGCGGTAATATTTAGGTGTTATTAAATAAATAAATAAAACTTAATAGTTATACTATATTTGTATTTATAACTTTACTAAACTATTAAATTACAAAATAGTTTAAATTATATATATATATAAATACTTTATGTATTATCAATATTAAGTTTAAATTTGTACTATTATAACAAATATTAATTGTAATAAAAAATTAATAACCAATATTAGTGGATTTATTATAATTATGACACTTCTGCCATAAATAGCGTTATTGCATAGGCAGAACGATCATTTATCCAGAAACAGTTGTAAATTAGTTGTTTGCAAACGCATAAACCAAACAGACAGTCAATTTATCCTGATCAGTTGCTAATCAGCAGCTTATCTGGATCAACTGTTTATCAACAGATTACCAATAATCTGCAGCTGCCACAAACAGACATTTAGTCCAAAACTGATTATTATAATTTTTTTCATATTTATTAGTTGAATCTTTATACCATGAGCTCACCAGTACTGTTTTGAAAATTTTTTATTCTTGATTCAATTTGCAAAAAATTGTCACCAATTCATTTAATATCAAAAGCAGTTGCTCTAGGCAGAGATATTTCAAAAGAAAATTTGTGACTAATAAACAACAAATATCGAGCATAATCAATCTTGCTAAATTTCAACACTGTCAATACCATGTCCCAAGCTTCGGATGCGAAAAATGAAGGGTTGTTTTAAGTAGTCAACAAATAGCATTAGATTTTTTTGTCGAAGAAATCATAACAAATTATTTAAATCATCGTGTAACTGTTAGAACGTCCCATGAAAGCGGCATATTATATGGCATGAATATAGGAAAAATGTGCAAGAGTTGCTATATTGACATTCGGATGTAATGTTAAATAAGCAGGGTTCTCGCATTATAGACGGATCCAGCGAAAAAGTTAGTCCATGAAACTAATATTATGATAGGATCTTAGAATATAAGTACTCTCGCGCATATATTAATGAAATTAATAGATATTATGGTTCACAGAAAGATAAATATTTTATGCACTCAAGAAAATAATGGGTTGGATAAAATGCTAATGAGATTGATAGCTTAGATTTTAAACTTTGGTATTCGAGTAGATATCGTACTAGAATATGTGTAATTATAAAGATAATGACGAAAAAATTAATAGATATTAAAATAAAATTACATCTCTAAAGATTATTGTTGATACTATGATTTTTAATGTTATATGCACTAACATTTTTTAAGTTGGTTTAAATATATGTTTAAGAAAAAACTTTGTAATGACCTAGAAGAATTAATAGAAATAATACCCCTTGAAAAAGAAATATTTATTTGAGAAGATTTAAATGGACATATTGGTAGAGTAGTAAAAGATTTTAAAAATATTCATGATGGCTATGATTTTGATGTGATTAATGAAGAACAAAAAATCATATTGGATTTTATTTTAGCTAATGATTTTGTTATTGTTACTATTTTAGTTTTAAAAAAATATGAACATAAGAATGGATCTAATAAAATACAAATTGATTATTTTCCTATGAGAAAAAAAGAAAGTCAAGAATGTAAAGACTATAAGGTCATTCCAAGTGAAAATTTAAGTACTTAACATCGATAATTAGTTTTTGATTTTAAGATAAATAGAAGATAAAAATACAATGAAATATTGTCATAGAATTAGATGGAAACACTTAAAAGACACAAATAAAAGTATTTTTATGAGCAAACTTCAAGATTTTAAGATTTGGAATATTCATGAAGAAGTTAATTATATGTAAGATAAACTAACAAACACTGTTAAACAAATGACAAAAGATGTGCTTGGAGAATCAAAAAAAAAAATTATACACAAAAATATTTGATAGAATATAATGTACAATAAAAGATAAAATATAAGAAGTTTTGTTGTAAAAATTGATTTAAATATAAAAGCGTAAAAAACTAAAAAAAATTATAAGGTGTCCCATAGGGAGTTCAAGAGAACTATTTGTGATGCTACGAATTCTGTTTTTAGTGATTTTTACAATAAATTATATGTTAATGCGGATGAAAAATATATGTATAAACTAGTAAAACAGAAAGACCAAAAAGTAATGATTTAATTCAAGTAAATTGTATTAAAGATGAAAATCAAAAAGTATTTTTCTTAGATGAATATATTCAACATAAGTGGGTAAGATATTTTGATAAAATTTTCAATAAAGTTTTTGAAAATATGATTTGACATTACTGATCTTAATATTAATAATATTTTTTTTTTTTTGTTTTTACTGTCGCATTAGAAAAAAGAAAGTTGATGAGACTTTAAAGAAAATTATAGTGAAAAATCAAAACTTGATGGTATCCCGATAGAAGTGTGGAAATATTTAGGAGATTTGGGAATTTTTTGACTTACTAAACTTTTTGAAATAATTTTTAAAAGTAAAAAAGATATGTGTAAGGAAAAGTATTTTGGTCTTCTTTTAAAAGAATAAAGGGGATGCACAAGATTGTGCAAATTATAGAGGAATTAAGTTGATGTATCTTACATTAAAATTATGGGAGAGAGTAAGTGAATATAGGTTAAGGCATGATATATAAATTTCTCATAATCAGTTTGAATTTATGTCGGGCAGATCTACTATTGAAGTTATACATTTATTGAAAAATTTGATGGAGAAGTACCGAGAGAATTAGCAAGATCGACATATGATTTTTTATTCATTTAGAAAAAGCTTACGATAAAGTTCCAAGAGAAGTTCTTTAGAGACTTGTAGAAAAGAAAGATGTTGATATGACATATTCAAATCATTAAAGATATGTAAACGAGAGCTATTACTTGTGTTCGAATAGAATAAATATTGACCAAGCTTTAAGCCCATATCTTTTTTCTTTAGTTATGGATGCTCTTACCAGACACTTACAGGATGATGTGCCTTGGTGTATGCTTTTCATTGATGATATACTTCTTGTGGATAAGACCAGAGAAAAAGTTCAGGAAAAACTTGAATTATGGAGGTCTACTTTAGATTCTAAAGGCCTTCGTTTGAGACGATCTAAAACTGAAAACATGGAATATAATCTTAGCGGTTGTAGATCTAGAGACAGAGTCGTAATGATGGGTGAAAATTATTAAAAGAAGTTAACATTTTAGATATCTCAGGTCTATTGTTCAAAGTGATGGCTATATAGATAGGAATTTTATTAACAGAACTCGAGTTGGATAGTTGAAGTAAAGGAATGCATCGAACTTATTGTGTGATAGAAAAGTACCGCTTAGAATTAAAGGAAAATTTTATAAGATGGTGGCTAGGCTTGCAATGCTTTATTACACAGAATGTTGGCCTATAAAAGAGAAGCATAAAACTAAGTTAAGTGTTGTTGAGATTAGAAGGCTTAGGTGGGTAAGTGGCTTTAAACTTAGAGACAAAATGTGAAATGAATATATCTATGAAAACGTTGATGTAGCTCTAGTGGCAGACAAGAATAGAGAATTTGATGATCCGCTAGGAGAGAAGATGTTTTAAATTCGACTTATGTTAAGAAATGTAGAGGTAAACCTAAAAAGACTTGGGCATGTTACATAAAAAATGAACATAATTTATTAGAATTAAAAAAATATGACACTCAATTGAACACAATAGAGAAAAAGGATACATGTAGCATACCCCCACTTAGTGGGATAAAGGTTTGTTGTTGTTGTTGTTGTAGAAGTCAACCTAGATGAATTATCAATGGATCCAGAATTGCAGAAAATCATATCATACAACTTTATGAATGATCGTGATAAAATTCATAGAGCTTACAAAAAAACTTCGCCAAACTCGCCAAACATAATAGGGAATAAAATGAGTTGATTTAATCCAGACTGATTTGATGAATTCAAAAGCTGGTTGGAATATAATAATGTAAATAATATTGTTGATTGCTTATTTTGTCATACTTGGACCAAGATTAACCAAAATTAAAGCAGCAGCAGTAAATCCATATGGAACATTTTATAGATAAGGCACATAAGAACAAAGAAGTGGTGATAGTTTTAACAGTAATGGATTTTGAAATTAGAAAAAGATGGATAGGTTTTGAGTTCACGTTAGTCAAATCATTAGTGCTCGTAATATCATTTGAAAAAAGTGTCATGACATAATGAATCAAAATCAGCATACAATTTTACTTACAAAAAAATCTTGTGATCAAATGTGCCATGATTATTGAACACATTTGACAGCAAGCATAATTGTGCATGCTATTTTTACACCAAGATTTAGCTTTTTGTGGCCATGATGAATTTAAGAATTATGAAAATTAAGGAGACTTTTTGGAGTCAGTTGCTTTTTCTAACAAACTATAATAAAGATATAAAGAAGTTTGTTTTAGGAAATACTTCTAAAAATAAAAAGCTTATTCATTCAGGAAAAAATTGCACATGGCATTGCTATTGGGACTATAAATATTATTATTAATGGATTAGGAAATAATTACAACAATTCAATTAGACGAGCCTCGAGATATATTAGTCAGAGAACAAATACCAACTGCAATCCGTATTGTTAAAAAAATATTATATTACTGAATGATTCCTTAAAATAAAACATTTAATGAGACTTTTGCTTCAACACCAAAGAAAAAAATAGAAGCTCTTTTTGCTAAGCATGGGTTAAGCATTGCATGATTACATGGTCAGGGTCATGATGGGGCAAGCAATATGCACGATGGGTTCAATGAATTGAAGACTTTGCAGTTCATTACAAACATTGTTTTGCACATCAACTTCAAATAGCTTGGATTGTCATAGCTAAAAATCATGTATAAGCTACTTCTGTTTTTAATGTAATCACTAATTTAATTGAAGTTGTTGAATGTTCGTGCAAAAGAATAGACATTTTACAGGAAAAATAACTCAAAACTCTTATTCAACAGTCACAGAATGTTGGAGATTGGGTAGAGGATAGAATCAAGATATTTCTTTTTAACGAGCCAGATATACATGTTTGGGTTCACGCTATAGGTCATTCATAAGTATATTTTTATTAATTGAATCTATCGTTGAGGTTCTTAAGATAATAATTCAAGATGATTCAGCAGTGAACAAAGAGCTGAAGCACATGTATTACTAAAATTTATACAATGTTTTGATTTTTTGTTTGTGTTTGATAAAGATTATATTGAGCATCACAAATAAACTTTCACACATAACATCCAATTTCATTAAAGCGGGTAAAATTTTGGCAATTTCAAAATGTACTCCAAATTTTGCATCTCCAAAATTCAATCAAATCAATTTTATAAAATTCTACGTATTGATTCGATTAATTTGATAGATAGTACAACATATGAATTATGAATATAATAGGAAATATTAAAATAATAAGACATTGCATTAGAACATATGATTACAAATAAAAAATTGAGGCTAATTCTATTAACATTTATACATCTTTATTGCATTAGAAGTTATGCATCCTATCATAAATCACAACTTCTCAATAATGTAAATGTATGACAGAGTTCAGAAAAATTTGGATTCACAAGAATTAAAAAGTTTAGTTCTCACCAAATTCGTACAATAAATGTAGTTCTAAGTGGCTCTTAAAATCAGTGAGTTATAGGCTGGGATAAGGCCAGTTTACAATAAGGCTAACAAGAATTGTAAGGATTTAGTTTCAGCTTACTACAATATAATTTGCCCCCCGAAGTGTTAACAGTTTTCTCGGACTAGTAAGAAAATGCTTTACAGAAAAAAAGACAACCAAGCCTATGTCACTCTATTAAATAAATTAAAATACAAAAACAAATGTCAAAGAAAAGTGAACTTAATTCCTACACTTCTATGTTAGCCAAACCTCCAATATTACATACGCCAGTACAGCCCTTCTACCCTTAAAAGTCATTTATTTTGGCATAATTATAAGTCTTTTATTATTTTAATGATCAAAGCATAATTATTTGGCTATAAAAAGCACATATAACTGTAATTTTCTTTACTTTAAAATGACGGATGCAACAAATAAGAAATAAAGGATGTCATGATCATTAGAAACCAAGATGACATTAGCAAGATATGAAATAACGCTTAGTTCTATCAACTACATGAATCATCAACTAACTCTTCTGCATTCTAAATTAGATTACCTTTATGATAATCAGGTAAACCGAAAGAGAACAATAAAAGAAAGTTTTAAAGCTACTCGTCCAAAAAAAGCTTAATAAAGCATCCAGAATACTTGAGGTGAGGATAGACAGACATACTGCTTTTTCCATTGTTTGAAAGAACTGCATTCTGTTTGACAGAATTTTCTGCATATGAATCAATGACGCCATGGCAGTCCCCTGCATGGAATTTAGCCCATCAAAAGTAAAAACAATAAAAATTAAAGCCAAGAGACAAAGGCATAAATAATATATTGACCTCAACTACATCAACAACCACAAGGCCATGCACATTAGGTATCACTTTCCTCGCTGCGACATGGACAGCTACAGAACCTCCCATGCTGCAATTAAGGCACCAAAGAAAGATGTGTTCATCAGAAGCAACTTCAAAGCTATGTCATATTTATTGTATCAAATGTGATACTAACTTCAGAACAGTTTAGGAAAGAATGATCACGAGAATGAGCAAGTTTTGATTTGAGCAGCATTTTTATAATTTTACTTTCCAGAGAACTGTCACAAATATACTTAACCACAGCTTTTTAGTTTATATCAGAAATCTTTTATGAGAAATAAATTTTACAGTCAAACCTGCTAGAGTGTGGTGACTGTAACAAATTTATCGTTCGACCTTTCTAAAGGTGAAAAAATTTATACTACGCATAGCAATTTCCAAAAAATATGTTTTCCCCACAAAAATCCATAGCTATTTTTACATTAAAAAAAAATTTACAAACACCACAGTGACACTTAGCGAAGCGCATAGATACCCAATTTGACCAAAATATCAGTTTAATTTGATTTAAGATTATACCCCATTTTTCACACTTCCCAAAAATCCGCAAAACTATTTTTACAAAATTCTACACTTTATTTTATTTCGATTAATTATACATATATATAAGTATGTATGTATGCATGTATATATATGTTGTTTTATAATATAATTCATTAAATTAATTTGATTCAACTTAATCATACTAATCACTTAATTATTTCCACTATTAGCAGTAATTAGCACTATAATGAGTCCGCTAAACATGACATGTAATAATGGGATTAAACAAATGGTTTTGAAATGGGAAAGCAAATATATGTATATATTCACATATAGCCTTCTTGTTTCTTCTTCGTTTTCCTCTTTGTCCCATGATCTACTAGGATGAAATTGCGGTGAAAGGTCGGAGATGGGACAAATAAGAACTATTGCTCTCGTGTTAGTTGTTTGGGTGGGAAATTAAGGTATTTAGGAGGATTTTAAGAGCTGTAAAGTAAAGTGATATGTGTGTGTGTGTGTGCAGAATTGTGTATATATATAGTAGCGTAAGCTCCCCTTTTTATTCCTTCATTCCTCTATAATTCACAAAGGAAGAGCCAAAGGTGGGGCGAAGCTCTAGCGATATAACAAAGAGTTGTTACTTTCGATTTGGACAATGAAGGGGAAATTCGAAGTAATAGGGAGGTTTTTGGAAGGTTCTTTAGTAGCTAATTCTGATGTAGTAAATATGTATAAATGTTCTTATTAAATTGCATTTAACCTAAAATTTCTCCTATTTTCTGTCCAATCTGCCGTAAATGGCAGCAAGTTCTAGCTAATAGAAGTGGAAAGGGAAATTAGAATAAGGAAGAAATAGAACTACGAAGCTATGTTCCAGGTGAAGAAGTTCTGAATATTCATTACCTCGCCGTCGAATTGTGTTTTAAGTTGATATCCTTAAGAGTTTGAATGAAGTCATTTTGAAGTAAAAATATCAATTTAGATTATCAATATGCTAAATTAAGTGTTATTTAATAAATTCATAAAATTTAAATGAATTTATTATTGCTAAACTATTTACGCAGAGAAGCCAGCTTGAGGTGAATAAAGGTAATGTTAGGAGGCTAACCTGACAATCGATATAAGATACTCAATTACTAAAATAATAAACATATTATCTATAAAACAAATGTTAACTTCTTATTAGTAAACCCACTTGCTATGTATTTACATTAAAAATGCTCATATTGAGCATAATTATTTCTGTTAGCAAGATTTAATTTTATATAAATGATCATCTGTTTATTTCCAATTCATAGTACATTATAGAAATACATAATCAAGTTCAAATATGGAATATCATGTCACATTGCAGTCCTAGTACATGCTAATAAAGCTGATTGTTAATAGAAAATTCTTGTTAAACAAGAATTGCATAGAAAAATAATTGTAGCAAATAAAAAAAGGATCAAAGAAAAATCATATATTTTGTGATAGGTAGGCCAACTATAACGATCATCCACATAATGGAATGCAAAAGTCCTAACAGCATAAACCTTAATAGAGAAATAAATGAATGCTCGACTATTGATATTAAAATTAAGACTGTCCAACTAGTATCAATGGGTTTTTGATAGATACAACGTTAGAAGAGCCAACTTTTATCAGCAATTACGATGGCTGACGGCCAATCGGTATGGGAGCCAGGATAGAATTTCCCATCCTATGAGAGACTATAATGTTGGAATTTTCCCACCGGCTGTGGCAACCGGTCTTTGTGGGTCCTATTTTTCTTTATTTTTAAGTAGAATTAATGTTTAAATAATATCCTAATATAAGTATGTTGCTTAGAGCTTGGCTTGAGAATATGTGGGTTTCGATTTATATAATAGAGACTATTTTCTCTAATTCTTTCTTGCCGAAGTGTTGTATCCTTGGATCATTTTCAGGTGGTGTCTCTGTAGCCAGATTGGATCGAGATGGTGATCTCTCGAGGACGTTTATAGACCTTTCTATACCTCTACAACTGTTGCCTATCTATTATTTCCTATATCCAACTTGCTGTCCAACTATTGATTGCACCTGTTTTCAATCGTCACTGGCATTTTTTCCTCCATTGCTCTTCCTACCCACACCATTTAGGAACTCAAAATCAGTGTTAGACGGGCTAGATGATGACCTGGCGAATTTGATGTGACAAACTATGCAAATATCATATGACATTTCTAAAATAAAAAATATTGAGAATAAGAATAAAAATAAAAGCAAAGTAAATGAAAACATGACATTGCTTAGCACAAGTAAATATAAAGACTTATCAGTAGCTGTTTTATTTATTTCTAACAATTCTTGTGGCGATTGTTTATAATCATATTCTCTTTATTATTTAAGTATTAAAGCATATTAATTTATTATTAACATTGTACTAAGCCAATTATGATTATAAATGAATTTACTCATGCGTAAGTCTCAAACCAACATACATGTTACCTCTCTTTTGTATATTTGAATCTTATTTTAAAGTTGTTTATCTCACTGAACTTGAAACAAACCAAGTATTATATGATTGTTTTCTAAAAGTGAAAAGAAAAGAAGGATCGTTAGTCAGATGACCTATCTATAGTATAGCTTTTGATTGTGCAATTTTAAGTGTTTATAAAAAACGTTGATATTCAAATAAAGATTTTTTGGATACATGTGGTTTTATATTAAAGATTAATTAGAAGCATTGTATTTTTTAAAAGATTTTTTTTCTAATATCCCTTCATATTTTTATTGTTTCATAAATATTATAGGAGTTAAAATGTCAAATTTTGCTTAATGACGATCTCAAAAGTCTAATTATATACTCACTTGATCCTGATGAGTATAAGTCAAAATAAATCCCATAAAAACTTAATTTGAGTAAATCGACCTTTTTGACCTCATTTTTATGGGGTCTTTTATTCCTTCCCCGTAGAGCCTAAAATCTAGTCATAGAGCTTACCTTTGACCATCTTAGAAGCCTAGTGTTAGGACCTACCCCGCTTAGAAATTCAAACCACTTCTTGACTCTTCTTGGAGGTCTCAAATGTGTGGTTTTGGACCATCAGCACTTGGATGGTTAAGACCAACATAGTGAAACCCAAAGAGGGTTCCTATAGGACCTTTAAGCTCTAGGATGACCTTATGCATACCCATTCACATCACCTACACTTTCACACACTTCGTCGTCGATTAAAACTGAAATTAATTTTAAAATGATCAACAATGAACTAAAATTTATAGAAAATTAAATTTGACGCATTTTTTATCTAATCGTTGAAAAGCTTGTTCAAACGATCCCGGATGACAAAATGGACCAAGTGAGCGCGTCCGAGACGTCGATTTTACCTGGGAAGGGCACCCATTTTGATATGATTTTTGCATAACCATGTTGTGCGGTGGATGTGCAGTATAAGTCTAACCTTGTAGAATTTCGAGGTTGTCCGTCTGGCGCAAAGTAAACCCTCTGATCTCTCTCTGGGCTATTTGCATGAGCGGATATCATGCAAATGTAAGCCCTAATTTTAATAATTGGCATGATTAAACATTAATAACATCATTTCCAAAACATGAAGTCAAATGATAGGATAGATTGGAAAGTCACCGGGGTTTTCCTCGGATCCGTGACATCTCCTACCTTTCACTCCTTTGACTTATGAAAATAACTATTCCTACTTGAGTCATTCTCATTTGACTTTTCTGTGTTCAATCTTGAAAACTAAACTTTAAAATCTTGAAGACAGAAATATGAATCTCAATCGAGAGTTTTCTCAAGTGTCTTTGGTCATTTGAGATGTAATTAACTATATGAATTTGCCTCTATAGGAAACTTAAAACCCGAATAAAATAAACCCTACTTAATATTTATATTAGGTAGGGAAAATTGTCGATCACACATAAAAGTTTTGCATATCGAAATAGAGTCATAAATTTCTTAGTTTAAATGATTGAGTTTACTTTCAAGTGGTGTGTTTTCGAGATAATGTATTATTTGGGGACTTGTGCTCAATTATCTTAACCATCAGATATATGAGATCTATTTTGGTTTCATTTATTTCAAAATTAAAATACTATTTTTTTTCAAAATCAAAATTACGTATACATAACTTAAATTTAAATCATTTTCAAGATTCTGACCGACAGTTCTCTATTACACCTTTAGTCGAACTGAGGAGGCTGATTAAGATGTGACAGTACTTCTTGGTGGTTAATCTTCTTCAAGATAAGAAGTGTTTGATTTCCTCTTATGGATCATATAAGTAAATATGTTACCACCACAAACTTTAGATGAGTACTATAATTTAAGAACAAGCTAATGAACAACTTGGATCAAAGGAGCAGATAAAAGTTGAAAAACTTTGTAGGGCTATGGTATTGACAATCATCTTACATATATTTTTTCTAAAAACATGTATCAAACTCATAATTCCCCTTAACACGGCAATGCTTAGTAAAAATAAGAAAGAAAAAAATATCGAAGAAAGTAGTTGCTTTCTCTTGATGGAAGTGAAGTATACGATTAACCAAAATGAAAAAAAAACAGAGGAAAGCTTTCTTAATGATCCTTAACTAATTTCTCTCTTATTTTGAGCAGAGAATGTAAAAAAGAATAGAATTTAGTGAGTAAATTTTTTGTAAAATTTTGCACCTTCAACTCTAAAGATTTTTTAATATGGCATATAATGTGTTGATACTCACTAATTGAAGGACACAAGCGACCAACATAATCAAGTAGATAAAAATTTCACAAGATAAATCAAGAAGAAATCAAATTAGTATAATTATAGAAGTACTGGCTCCTAAAGAAAAACCTGTGGCCAACAAGAATAATGGCAGGTGGAGAATTTCCATAGATGGTTTTCAATACAGCCACAACATCGTTACACAGAGTCTGCATGGATAAAGAGTATCTAAATTAAATCAAACTGATAATGAATAATTTTGCTAGCATAAAACAACCAAAATGGAAGGCAACCCAAAAGAAGAAAAAAATGAAGCAGCTCCAATGTCAAATTTAATCAAAACGACCAAGCATAACCCTTGCCGAATTCATTGGAGTCATAGCATACTTCAATAGACAAGTCTAGATCATTGTCAGTGGATGATTTTCCATGTCCTCTCAAGTCCATTGCCACCACCCGAGCCTTTTCCTTAATTTTACTAGCTGACAATGCAAAGGAGAGCCTGGCAACATAGATCAAAATAAAGCTAAGTCCCTACATAAAATCAAAACAAAAAGAATAATTTTCACATAAATTTAGCTAGATATGTCAGGCCTTCTATCTCTATAATTGTCATTTTTTCTCACCTATATGTTATCAATAGGCAAATTATGCTAGAGAGGCCTTTTAAACAAGCCTTTAAGTGTTTCAAAAAGTTCTTCCTTATCCAAAGTTCTTATCAAACTGGTTGAAAGCTCAACGAAACAAATTGAAGCAGCTTTTCCAAGAGTAAGAAGTGGCTATACAGTTACAGTATGAACTACAAAAATTTTCAAAAAAGGCAAGTGTTGCAAAAATTGCATTTGCAGATTTTTCAACTTCAAAAAAAAATCCAGACGCACCCTGAGTAACCACCTCCATGAAGGCAGAAAACAACTGGCCCTTCCGATCCAGCCTCAAAAATATGAAAGACCTAAATGATGCAAGATTAAGTTCAATTTATGCCTCTAATTAACTATGGAATGGCAAGAGAAAAAAAAAAAAGTAAGAGAAATGAGCACATTATTTGATCCTTCAATGGAAATGTCTCCTTCTTTATCAAAATAACCTGACCAATCCAAAGGCGAATATTTTTGGAGTGAAGTCCTGCATACCGTGATAGAAAAAATAAGTTTCATGCTTCAAAAGTAAGGCTAAGAAAGTTAGCACCAGAGAAGAATTATATATGGTAAAAGTAATAATTGATTTAAAAATTTCAATTCATTTGATAAATGTAGTTCCTCAAGTGAGATGTCATCTTAGTTAAAAATAAAAGTTGAATATTAACAAAAGATGTAAATTACCTCAATCATTTTAAACCATCCTCTGAGACATTCTGCTCACTAAAATGAGAAACCCTGCCTTGTCTCACAGTACTTGAATGCATAAATAAAAGTAGAGCCTGGCACCATCATGAGTTCAAATTTTTAAGAATGGAATGTTGGAGACCTAATTTTGATGGAAATTCATCAAAGGGAAACCTTGTACATCTAATGTGCTTAGAATGCTTACTTTGAGACATTCCAAATAGTGGCACTACAAGGCAAATGTGATTTATTCTTTAGCAATTACCGTGTAATGCTTGTGTGTCTACCCAATCTTTTTCTTTAAACAAATAGTCGTATAAACAATCATCAGCAACCAAGCTTGATCCAAATCACCAACAAACAAATTTATAAACATGTTCATAACCATGCTCAATGAAAAGAAATGTTATATTCTTTAGCATGCACACCTCTTTGCTCGAGTGCCAATCCAAATTTTTACTTTAGTTAAATAGCTGAATAGCCAATCATAGGTAATCAAGCTTGATCCAAATTAACAACAATCAAGTTTCTGAAAATAGTCTAGGTAATGCTCAATGAAAAGATGAAAATGTAAAATACATTTTCAAAGCTATAGATTAAGATACAAAAAAATAATTAAAGACCATTATCTCCTATAATTATAGCCTAAACCACATGTTGAAAGCCAAATGGTCATAAACATAAAATTTTTCATCTTCCAACCATGAAAATTTTATCATCTGTGATCCCTTCCATTTCTTTCCATTTTACATTCCTCATATTTGTAAATAAACACCAGTGTGATGCAAATGAGGGCAGCTTTATATTTCTCTTTTAGTTGAATAGTGTAATGAATGCTAAAACAAACATCCTTTTCTTTCCACTTGCTACATAACCGGCCAAATGCTCATTTTGGAGTGACATATGCAACTGCCTAGTAGGCTGGTTTTGATTCAGTGCAGAGTCTTCCAAATCTATAAGCAAAGAATCAAAAAGAAATGGTGTTTGTGATTGTCTTTTAGAAAGTTGCAAGGTGTCTATATAGGTCAAGTTTTCCAGGATGGCAGAGTGGACCCATCAAAAAATTGTCAGAGCACACAGAGTCCACCATGGTAATACATTGAGCTCTTTTGCACCCAGTCATCATCAACGCAAAGGGACACAAATAATTCCAGACCGGCATGGCTTTAGCTCACATCATCGGTGAAAATTTATCTCTCTCATTAATTAAAATTGCTTTGAATCTGAAAATCTGGACTATTCACGAAGCCCCGAGTATCTACCTGTTCCGTATCACTCAAAAAAGCCAATTAATCCAATCAATAAGATTTTAAAGAAGTTCTTGCATGGAAGATTGCGCTGTCTCATCTCTCTGCATAGCTTCCCTCCAACATTGTCCCGCATTTACTTGCAGCTCACACATTCATGCACCTTTAATAATAATCACATAATACTATTCTTAAATTAAGCCAACACATCTCCTTGTCTTACCGCCGAAAAGTCAAGCAGGTTTGTTTTTACGAGAATCAGATCATTTTCCCAATTACTTTGAGGAACCACATTTAAGCACGTAATGCATGTATACGATAATACAAACATCCACCCGATCAATCCACGTTATCTTACCGCCGATAGTGATCAAAATGGCATGATATAGGCAAAAATATATAGAAAAAAAAAAAAGGATAACCAGTAAGAAAATAACAGGGTGACTGCGAGTGGACGAAGACATTTCTTACTGAGATTCAGGGCGGGGAGGGACTGAGGAAGGAGAGAACGCCGATGAGGAACCCTCAGATTCCTCAGGTATCTCCTCGCAGAGAGAGTGAATGGTCGAGGACTCCATGGTTTCTTCAATCACTCGGAGACTCAGCTCTGGTTCGTGAAACTCGGGAGATCGTTCTTCGGAATGTTCACGTCAACCCGCTTGTTAGCTTATTTGTATGCAGCACTGTCGAAAAGGTTTTTCGGCTACGGTGAGCCGAAAGGTTGTGATGCCCCCATTCCATTCCAGTTAAATGGTGGGATTATGGTATTATCACCTCCTCGCTGGAATGTTGATGTATCAGTACTCCTGAGATAATATTTTTTTCATTAGAATCAGGATAATGAAATAGGTAATTGTACATAGTGAAGAAATTTAGAATGATATATTTACTTAAATTTAATAAATATGAATATAATTTTAAAACCAATTAGTTGATAAAAAAAGGCCATCATATTAAATACAAATATTCCAATTGAAATTTTTAATTTTAGGTTTTCTTCAAATTATTATTCATAATTGCATTAGGTTCGCAATATTCCTCTCGAAAAATATCTAGCATGTTATGACTAGGGTGGGTTATAAAATTATGGAGTAAATGTGTTATTTATGTAATTTGTTGGATCTTGATATGCGCAAGAGAATTCACAGCGGTAGAATGGTTAATGAACGTCTTAGCGTTGCACGAGAACCTAGCATAAGACTTTTACGTGAAAAACCTCAAAAAAGAAAAAACTACGGCGTATGACCCAGTTGAAGAGGTCAATTATAAAATGACGATTACATGTATAATTCCTTGTCCCACGAGTGGGAAAGGGTTACATAGTCCCTCAAGTTACAATGACGTTGCATAGAAGGACTTGCAGCTCCACGATGGGGAGTGGTCGCAACGAGGAGCAATGGTCGGGAATTCAATGCATCATCATTATGGTCAGCAAGACGTCCGAGATGATGGTGTTGTTTCGTACGGTGTTTCTTCGCAAAGACTAGGCGGTGACCAATGATGGTTGATAATGCCTAGCAATGGCGATTGTCAGAGGTGTGGCGGCCATAGGCGGTGGCGGCCAAAGGCGGTTGCGGTCACAGTTGGTCGAACGGTGGCGGTGGCGATGGAGGTCAAAGTTGGTCGAAGGACGGTGGATCATCAATGCATAAGTGGGGCTAGACTTCAGCTCCTTCTTCAAGCTTCAGTTTTATTCAGGCTTCAAGATCTCTTCTTTTTTTTAAGAGAGGGGTGGGGCTCTGTTTATAGTCTCGATTACAATTAATGAAGAAATCTGATTCAGTTTTATTGGGTGGTCTCGAGAGACGCCCTTGATGGCATTTGATGAACATTTGAGTGTCTTAATGATGTCTGAATTGAGCGTTCTTGAGCTCGTTGGAATTGTCTTACCAAGACGCTCGATTCAACTATAAGTTCGTCGGATTTGACATTTATTTGACATTCCAAACATGTCTGGAAAGCTTCTAAAAATGATTTAATGGCTTGATCAGGGTTTGATTTGGTTTAGATTGGACCAATTATTATATCATTGGTCCGCTCATCAAACCTGTCAGTTTAACTGTGAGTTTGCTAAAATCAGAGCTCTATATGACTTTTAATCAAAGTTTGAATGTTTCTTGCTCAAAATATCGTCACGAGATCCATCTCATGTCTCGAAATTTATGATATATAGTGTATCAGATCTAAATACGTTTATAATAATGCATAAACCCCACTAATAGAAATCACAAGGTTTTGACAAAACCTCCATAGAGAAAGAATTGTTAGATATTTTATTTCTTTTTTTAAATTTATTATTTTCAGAAGTGACCCTTTGAGTCTTTATTGTGGGACTTTTGTTTGATATAAGGGAGTTAACACTTTGTTGTGAAAAATAAATATACATCATATTAATTTCAGGCACATGAAAATAGTCATTATAATACCCTTGGATTGTTGTCTTGGCAAATACTATCCACAAACAAGCATGCCCCTTATGAGCTTTTAGGCAAGTGCGTGTCTTCAATAATAGAGTGTTCTCTAAGATTGTTTTCTTAAATGTGTGTTTTTTTAAGTTTATGTGTTGCATTAGGCAAATACTAGTTTAAGCTTAGATTCTTCAAACTCGGTGAATGCCCTTTAGATCTTGGCTAGTGTTGAATCCTCTTGAGACTTAAGGTCTCGAATTGCTCATGAATACATACAACCCGATAAAATGTTGTGTATCATAGAGAGAGTGATAGAAAGAGAGAGAGAGATGTATGTGAGTCTTTTGAGGGAACTTTAGGAAATATATTAAATTTTGATCCTCGGTAAGTCGTAGGGAGGCGAGTCTTTGGAAGTTCCCCAGAATTACAAGATTTCAGAGAGAGAAATTGGGGGAAAAAAAGAGATAGAAAGTGATCTCCAAAGAGGAAAGAAAAGAAAAAATGATCTTTCCTCTATCCTTTTCCCACCCCTTTTATACATAAAAAAAGTCAATAAAATAATTGAAATAATACATCTTATATTATATGTTGTATTTCTGCAGTGTCTTGATGGAAAGACTGCGATGTAAATGTCAGGTATTGTTGATACAATGACCATCTTAGGTACTTTGGTGAAAAGATTGAGTCTCAAGTGTCATACAATGTCTTTAATAAGGAATTAAAGGTTGTCCTTATTGGTCATGACGGCTTCTTATTAGTCGTGATGGTTTCCTCCGATAATTGTTATTACAAAGGTGAGTTAGGCTATCATTTTTGAGGAAAATGAGAATAATCGAATTGGCAGGCGGGCTCTATTTAGCCACTTTGGCAGGTGGGCTTGATTCAACAACTTTATTAGTAGCTCGCTTCAAACACTTCGGCGTATGGGCTTAACTTCGGTAGGTGGGCTTAATCCAGCCTCTTCGATAGGTTGGCTCAATTTAGTAGGAGAAAGTTGATGAAAATTTATGAATAGTTGTATTTGTGTATACATACACTTATTTTATTCTCTTATCTCTTTAATCAAATTTTTGTGAGAAGAATGAGATAATGAGGATCTTTTTTTTTTTACTTCTTTCATACTTACACAACAAGGATGAAGGTTATCTTGGAAATGAATCCTTTTATCCTTGGGGGCTTATTAACTTGTCTTGCGAGGAATTGAATTTCTTTGTTATCAATAACATTCTAGGACTGGCCTTCATTTATGTGGACTCTATGCTTCTTTTGTAGAGATTAGCCTCTAGATTTATGTTGATGATTGAAATCCACTCTTTTTTCGAGAGTCTTAGCCCATAGAAAGGATCTATTCAAATTTACTTATCATGTTTTTTTAGGTCTGCTAAGGTTCCTCTTTGTATTTGTTTTTTTTTTTTTACTATGTTATGAGGAAGTGAGTTCAAGCACATTATGTATGAGAATGTTTTTCTTTTAACGATGCTTTATCTGCTTCTATAAAGAGGTACAAAGTTAACTTAGAAGGCATAAAGAGTATTAATTGATGTATTTATTCAAACTTAAATACTTGTAATCCCTCTGGGGCGGCACTTTCCACATTGGAAAAACCGTGGTGCCACAACCTACCAGCACAACATAAAATTGATTGTTCACCCTTTAAAAGGGGCAACCACAAGTTTGGTTAGTATGAACCCTGGACTCCCTTCCAGTCTCTTGAGCCAAACCGAGAGTCCTCACCTCCTCCTCCACTCCCTCCCATTCTGGCATAGAGCCCGTTATAGGCAGTGACTTTGTTTATGATTGGAGTGCTCATGGACACATAGAGCGATTTTGGAGATTAAAACCTAAGGGACTACATCAACTTTTGTGAAGGGTGAGATTTCTCTAAACTCTAGCTCCCTTTTCATATATTTAGAGCCTTAAGGGTGATGTTACAGGTTAAGGTAAACTGCTATTAGAGAAAACCATTAAGTTAGTTGCATTTCCTTTCTACCCTACATCTTTTGAGCAATCGAGTGGATTTCCTCATTGTTTTAGCTTTAGTTTTGTGACGTCGCCTTTGGGCAATGCCACACTACCCTTATATTTTTTGGACTTGATGTTTGGGTGCCATTTTATGGCACCGAGACATGTATTTTTATAGGACAACACCATGAAATTTCCTCTGCAATATTGTTGTGCCATTTTACCTCATATTGGCTTAACACCAAGTCGTTGCTTATTAGCACCACGACACCATCTATATTTCCATTTGGTCGCAAGGCCTTGATTCTTCTTTCAACGTTGCGACCAAATCAAAGCTTGTGTTTGATTGTCCAGAGTTGAGGCACTGGTCCCCAATGCCATGGCCTTGGACCCAGGCCTTACAAATAAGCACTACGCTTTGTTGATAGAGCTGCAACCCTACAATATGTGCCTACTACCAGAACACTGCTTTATGGTGCCATGACATCATGGCTTGCCTAAGACTTCTCTCTAATAGTCGTGTTTATGATGCATCATGCCTGTCATATTGCAACAACATGGTGAATGTGTTGATTAATTGGGTGTGAATTTAATGAATGATTTTAAATCCTTAACTCTTATAGGTTAATGATTTAAGGGGTTTGTACCACAGGGCCTTCAGTTGCATCTCTTTGTGGAAATAGAGATCCCCATTTAACAATATTTTTTTGGGTGAGTCTGATTATACCAAACTAATGTGATATTAGTTTTTTTAGGTTTTGGGACCTGATGATTTGTATCCCCAAACTATTTGCTACACTTATTTGTGGAGATTTTGGGTAGTATTTTGTCAACTAGATCAACCAAACTTAAAGTGGGTATGTTGCTCTCGGCTAAGATTATAAGTTTTGTTTGTCCTTTTTTTCTTAACCTTAAGCCACCAATCAAATGTTAGGTCAGATATTAGAGTCCCATAATTAGTTAGGATTATTAGGATACATTAGGTGTAGTGTGTTAATTGCCACTCTTATATTTGGGGGTATCATATTAGATGATCAATAACACAATGTTGCTATACAACTCTGTGTTGTTTTTTCAGAGAGTGATTGTTGTTTTGCTTGCATGTGCATGATTGTCATGTGCGTTTAAGTCTTTTTTTTGAGATTACATGCTTGCATGTTGCATATGACTTTGCATGTCTTGTATGACTTTATGTTGAATGCTTTTTAAATTCATTGCATGTGTTTGATGCATTTGTTGCATTCACGCTCCATTCATCTCATTGTGCAACTTATTTCATCTGAGTGAGCTCAGGATCTTTTTGCATATAGCTCAAAGTTTGGGAGTCAGTACATTAGTGGCGGGACTTTAGTTAAACCTAGTTATGACCTGTAGTCTTAATATAGAAATGAACATCACTTGTTGGCTTGAACAAATAAGTGATGTGAGTTATCATATTACTACCAGATCTCATATGATCATTCTAAACAATGGATTGGACTAATATTTATCACCAATGTGATGAGTGTTAGCTCATTCAGTTGCTCAGGATAAGGCCGGTCTTAAGGACCCCATCAAGATCCTAGGGGAATGCCCTTAGGCTTACACCACACAACTATCACTTAGGTGTTGGATAAGCAACAAGTTATAAATGATTGCTTAGAACTAGGGTTAGGGTGTTGTTAAAACTTTCATATGCACAACTATAATGTTGGAGTGTTTACAAGACATTGTACTTTGATTTACTTTTGTGTATTTATTGGTTGTGGATTTGAGCACTAGTATGTTAGGGTCATTTTTCTTGTAGGGAACCATGTCCAAATTCGAGAAGCTTAAATAGTTGAGCATTAAATTAACACCTTCTATGTGAGTACTAGTTAGCTCTCCTCCTGCGGACCATGACTCATTTCACATTACATGCACTAACACTTTCCTTATATGTCGAGCCTTTATTTTGGATCTTTTTCTATGTACTTTTTGGAGCCTAGAAGAGTCAATATTGAAAATATGATACAAGCACGAGTCCCCGAGGTGCTTGGGCCATGGGACCGTGTGCACAATAACCTTGAGCAATTTACTTGTACCTCGTATCTTGATTCCAAATTTTATTTGTTGTATAAGCTTAGGATCATGCATGTTATGCAAAGCCTGACAACTATATTCTTTATCTGAGATTTGTTATCGATCCAGAGGCACCCGATTTATTGATTATTATTTCATTTGGAGTGTTTTATTTTCTTTTGTGTGTTGAATTCTATTAAAAATCATAATAAAAAAATTATCATAATTAAATTGTATTAATTTTAAAAGCCACGCCTTTACTTTCTTGCATGGACCTTCGGCCAATTTTAAAATGGTTGTATTTGCATGGCAATTAACCTAGTCATTAATAGAACCTCCATTATTAAGTCTCTAGATAATATTTCATTCATATTGCATGTTCAGAGGGGAGGTATCATTGCTTATCCAATCCAACTAATCAAGAATATTTTCTTACGCTTAGATGGTTGTCTAACAAGATTAAGGAGTTAGAGCATTTCTTGACCAAGAAAAGACTATAAGTCCTTTGTGGGACGTGTTAGCTTCGTAGCTGAGTCATTTGTTCCTTTTCACACTATAGGCCTCCTCATCATACACTTGGCAGGTAGTTCTATTTACACCTTTCTTGTCCGAGTAGAGTCAACGAAGCTTAGATGTCTCTTTCCCGTGACTTAGTTTTACTGAATTACTTCAGATGAAGCAACACATGGATTATTGAAGAGTACTTTATTGTCATGCTGGGTCGACTATGTTCACCACTTAGTAGACTTAGAGTGTAATAACCTATGATGATTGCTCCATAGAGTCTTGACTAGGCTATCTCTAACTATCTAAGATTTTCTTACCTACCATTGATACCTCTTTTGGTCCCTTTGTAATCATTGTTGAATCTTTTATAGTCGTTCCATAAACTTTTTTTTTGTGTTGAGTAGTAGCTACCTGTTCGGTTATAGTGATTTACCCTCTGCCTAAGAGCCTAATCTTGCTATGACAACAAAAGATTTCCTCTATAGGAATGATGAAAATTTTTATGGTACCTTATCGTCAAGAGTCATTTTAAGAGCAAGCACAACTCCTTATATAAAGAGTCTTCCTAGGTATCCACGAGGATGTAATTGACCATGAAATTACATCAAAGTGGGTGGTCTCATTGAACGCATAATAAAAAAATAAATTTAACTTTGCTCTAATTTCATGTGCAAAGATTCTTGTAAATCCTTTATCGATTCGTGTAAATCCTTTATCGTGTATTTCTCAAGATGAACAAGGTCCGATTCACTTTATACCGTTATTCTCTGATTTATGTTACGAGGATTGTCATACAGGATGTCTTCGTATCCACCATTTTGTGTTTTCTTAGTACTTGCCTATCTTAGTTCTTTTCTTCTATCACTCTATCTTTTTTAAAAATAGAGGCAGTTTGAGAAGTGAGATTAAAAAAAAAGATAAACATAAGGAAAATCACAACAAAAGGGTCACAACAATTATAAAATTAAAATAAAGTAAATTTAATGATTAAAATATTTTCTAAACTTAAAAATTCAATGATCTAAGTAAATTCTAATCAATTCATAACTCACTTAAAATAACTCAAATTAATATGAATTTTTTATAGGAGGGCTAGAATTCCATTCCAATTCTTCATGTGATTTTTTAAAAAAATTTTAAAATTAATTCAAGTATCAATTAATTAAACCCATTAAATAATTATCAAATCATAGAAAATTCAAAACAAGTAAAAAAAAATTCCAAATTTTCTAAACTTGATTCTCTAGTCTCTCCATACTCTAGAGAATAATTTCTAGAAAAATTAAGATGATTTTGACAATATTTTTTTAATTTTCTCCTTAAAGTTCAATTAAACCCTTTAATTGATCCATAAAGGACAAACACCCTATGGCTCAATCTAAATCCAAAGGCCCCTATGAGACCTTGGGGCCTGATAAATGAGCATTAAAATGAAAGAAAATTATATTAAAATTGAACAAATTAAATTAAGGCATTTGATCATAAGTTATTGGCAAGCCAAAATTAAACTTTAAATAGACAAACTTAAATACTTGTGCCTAAATCTCAAACCTTCATAAACCCCCCACATAGGCCTGGTTGACCTTAATCAAGCTTGGTCAAAGTAAGGTCAAATTTAAACTCAACTCAAAGTCAACGCAAGTCAAAACCGATTCAAAAAACAAATTATAAGTCAAGTGAAACTTAGAAAACAAATTCAAATTAAATTCAAATCAATCTTATTAAAATTAAATCAAATTCAACCAATGTTAATTAACAATTAATTTCATTAAAATATTAAACTAAATTAATTTAAACCAACTTAAACTAAATCAAACTAATTCAATTCAATAGAATTTAACTTAGAAGAAAAAATAAAACAAACAAAATCCAAACACCTCATCAATATTCCATACCTCAAGATTTTCCTTGCCATTCATTTATCCTCCACACATATTCACAGGGATCAAGGTAAGATTTTACATATGCAAACCACTCAATTCAAATATATTTACATATCTAACACCAAAACTTCAATTTTTACATATATACCATCATATCCATGCATGAACATAAAAGATTTGAGCGATATAAAAGCAAAGAAGGTTTAGGTGGCAAACACTTGAAGACATTAAAAATTGATGATAACATAAGAGAATAGTTGCAGCATAACAAATATAAACATTTTCCTTATTGTGTAAGAATAAAAATCATAAATTTGACAGCAATATGCAAAGGAATAATTTAGCAGAATTACAGGTGTTTTAGCGTCAAAATCAATGGGGCCTCAGCCTGCTGCAAGCGATCTCATAGATGACGCGGAGAAGGCTCTTGGAAGTCTCCTCAGCAGGCAGTCTCAAGAGCTTTGCAACCTGACCGAACGCCATCTGGTGACACGTGAGAGCATCTCCTCCCGTTATGTCTACTCCAAGCTCCTTGTGGAGCTCTGGTGGGGACAGGGCCCACTGCATTGCCCAGATGGCGAGAGGACGCATGTAGCAGAGAGATCTGTATTCTTCCTTGTTGTTCCAGGCTTCCGGGGTCTGGAATGAGTACCTGTAATCATGGAGTGGAAATCAGTAAGTACTGGAACAGCTGAGCCAAGGTCAGCTTAGGTGTTGTCTGGCAACAGATGAGATTTAAGTTGGTAGGAGTCAGTAAATCCCGTAAATCCGGATTTATTAAGTTTTGAATGGGTTAAATCCGGAAAACTGTGTCACCTCAAATTCAAGCCCACGAAGTTTAGTTCACCAGTTCATGGGATTTAGTAAATTTGAGATTTACAGCCGAAATCTGCAGAATCCAGATTTAACAGCATTCCTGGATTTATTTTGTCTAAAATGACCGTCTGGCGAGGTTTAACTTAAATCCTGTGTAAATGCTGGGTTAAATCCGTTGCCAGTGTTTTGAATGATAGCTTCAAATTATCGGCAATGAAATTATCTAAAGAAAGAGTGTATTTTCAAAGGGCTACAAGTAAAGAGCGAATTAGCTGATATATTTTGATGGGTGTTCCAATAGCATGTGAGAAAGCCCCTTAAAGAAGGTTAAATTTGAATGGTGTTAGCATGGAAAGAGAATGCAGAGAGTGCATTTGATTTCTTAAGATTCACAGTATGGCTAGTTCATAGTCTGAATCATAGGAAATAGTTTGTGATTCTTGAAATTCCTGTCAATATGAAAGCAAAAAAATATTAGGTCAGGACTCTGGATGCATGAGTCCAATGGTAGGATGCACGTGTCAAGTGAGCCCCACAAAATATTAGGTCAGGACTCTGGATTATCCTTGACACGTGGCGACCCATCATTTGACTCCGGACGCAATGATCCTTCACTTGACACGTGGCGCCCAAACATTGGACTCCGGACGCAAATTGCTCCGGAGTCCGGATGTAATAATTGCTCAAAGGGAAAAAATATGGAAGGGTGGACAGCTCAATTTTGGTAGGCAGGTTCCTCACGCGACCTGAACACTGAAGAAGAAGCGCCTAGGGTTACAACTTTCAAGAGCTCTGGTAAGCTAAGAAACATGTAAGAAATCAATCCAAAAATTTCATCCGACCAATCCCCCATTCCACTTTTATATTTCCCCATTACCTAGATGTATTTGGTTCCCCGATGGTGCAAATGCTGTTTATCCAATTTTGACTAAATCAGGCAAAATTTAAATTATTTTAAAATATACTTAAATTTTTGCATTCCCTGAAATTTAACCGAACTAATTTTATAAATTATACATGTTTCAACGACTAATTCAATATGTTTTATTATATATAGATTATGGATATATTTAAAATTATAAAAAAAAAAGTTATTAACTTAATTAAACTAATAAATCCTTAATTAAGTATAATTAACACCCCTAATTCCACAGCACTATAGCAAGCCACTTTACAGGACATGCAACTACCAGATGATTTGAAGAGTAGTGATTTAATTAAGTGAAGTGAATAGCTTAACGAAGCCTAAACCGATCATTGGAGTATGAAGTCCATTTTCACACAAAAAGTGTTAAATCTGAGGCAGAGAAGATGACTAGAGCTTATAAAGGACTACTGTTTTAATAACATTATTGTCCTGGTCGAGCAAATATAGTTGTCAAAGCTTTGAGCCATAAATTCACATGAAGTGCACGCCGAATTATCACTCAGAAGTTAGAATTGATTAAAGAAATTGATTTATTACAGTTGGAAGTCAGTAAACCAAGTGATATGAGATATTAACATCAGTTGATGGTAAAACCAACTCTAATAGACAAAATCAATGCGACTCAGACGTCAACAATGAATATTCGAAAATTCTGAAACAATTTCAATCAGGAAAGAAATCAAATACAATTGTTGATGAAAATAGTGTTCTCAGAAACAAGTTTCAGTTGTGGGTACCTATTATTCCTGATTTGAGCCAGAACATCCTACATAAAGCCCAATGTTCAAACCACACAATTCATCCCTAATACAAAAATGTATTAAGTGTTTAAAATTGATATTTTGGTGGCCAAATATTAATAAGAATGTTGTAGAATGTGTCAAAATGTCAGACTTGTTAGATTGAAAGACGAAGCAAAGACCCAATGAGTTGCTACGTCATTACATATACCTGAATGAAAATGAGAAGAAAATGTTATGGGATTTCTCCGATCTAGACATGGTTACGACATCATTTGGGTCATTATTCACATGTTAACAAAGTCTGGTCATTTATTGTCAATCAGTCAAACAAAATTACTTCAAAAGTTATCAAAATTATAAGTAAAAGAAATTATCAAATCGCAAGGAATTTCAAAAGTTATTGTTTCTGAAAGAGACGAAAGATTTACGTCCAAGTTGTGGAAAGACATTCAACAAAGCTTGGGTACAAATTTACATCTTAGCATAACATTTCACTCACAAACATACAAACAATCAAAAGAACAATTCAAGTATTGGAAGATCTGGCGAGACTTTGTATCTGTGATTTTAGAGGCACAATTGGGAAGATCACACCCCGAGTTTGCCTACAATAATAACTATCAATCTAGTATTAAAATGACTCTCTATGAAACACTGTATGACAGAAAGTGCATAACTTTACTAAGGATCTGGTTAGGGCAGCTGCAGCTTATTAATAAGTTGTTGATTCGCAACTGCCCCAGAAAGCTACTGCGCAGAAGCTGCTGCAGATAAGCTGACTCGTTGTTTGTTTATTGTTATTTGAAAACAACTGCAACACAACTGTTTATAGAGAAATGACCATTATGCCCCTATGTGGTAATGTTGTCTGCAACAAAACTATCATAGCAATATAATTGATAATTAAGAAGCAAAAATCTAATTCAGCACAGTTCAAAAAATAAGTTATACACCTCACTTAACAGTGAGTATCATGATTTTACAATAAGAAAAAGACTATTAAAATAACATTTAATAATATAATAATATTAATTTCAAAGTGAAGACTGCGCATGTCAGTAGCTATGCCGTCCTCCAGGGATAGTTTGCATCCCTGATCACTCTCGCCGGTTGATACTTCTTGTCCATCAGAAGAAGTCACAATTCGTGATTCTCCACAGACACATGTAAAACAGTCTCCCGTAATTATGTGGTTGACGTGACATCAACAAAAAAGTCTGAAGTCCATAGCAGCAGAACAATCATTGGAAAGTCACTGAAATCCTAGAGCCTGTCTTTCTTGAATGCTTAAAAAGACTATCCATTAGTCATAACACAAGTATAAAGTGATAATAATAATAATAATAATAATAAATTATAGTTTTGTGCAAGCATGAGGTCTTAGAGAACCAATACATCAATCAATGAATTTGTCACCACAAGAATACAACATATCTTATAAAATAGAAGTTTTTTTGTTGTCTTTAACCCACGTAATACCAAGCTCGTTTGTGTCACATATGCATACCACCAAAAAAGATCATCTAGAAGTACCTCAAAAATCACTGTATCGAAAAGAAAAAAGACACTTAGTTTCCCTCATCAATATTTCACATGTGATACCAATCATACAATGACTAACATGTCATTTAAAAAAACCCACAAGATCAAACGTCTCATCATGGACCTCACAAACCCACAAAAAAAGAAATGAAAAAAGAAAAAAATAATTTAAAATAGCGTGAAAAGTACAAAATAAAAAATATCAATAAGAAACAAAAAAAAAAATTAGTAATACAAGGAACAAAAAATAAAAATAAACTGTATAAAATAAATAAGGATTATCCAATCAACATCCAACAATGAGGTCTGTAATCCACTCTCTCAATTCAACCATTTCTGCAGTACCTTCGCCATCCTTGGTGTAACCTTGTGATTCAACTTTTGGCTGTAGCATAGATTGTGCTATGTGATATTCAAATGCATTTGCCAGGACTTGCAAAATGATCATTGTCAACCATACTGAAGTCTACATCAATTCGAAAATGATGTCGTCAAATGTATTTATGCAGACCCATTGTACCTACTACAATTGCACCTACTTCAAAAATGGATACGTCGACATATCACGCAGTATGACCCGTTTTTTCTTCTAAACTCTAAATGTTTTTTCAATTACGCCACGTAAGGAGTGACTTTTATTAAATATTTTCTTCTTGCCCCAAGCAACAACGTTGGATCTTTCAAAATTGGGAATGTGATATTTCGTATACAAAAATGGTTTTAGATACCCCTCTTGTAAGGGAAATCTAGCATCCACCCAATAAAATTATTTCTCAAATACAAAAATTAGTAATGAATTTATAAACAAAGAATATGATTATTATTAAACAAACCTGGAGGTGGGTGAGGAAACCTATAGTTTCGATTTTTTGTCGCAAAAACAAAAATATGATTTATGCACTGTCTTCCCAACCAATCATCACAAAAATAAAGCACATGTTGGAGTCATATACGACCATCACAATTTGTGTGGGTAATCCACATCGTCCAATGTATGCGACCTTTTCATTATTGGATACACGTGCATCCACATAGGTTTCGTTAATCGCTCCAATATAGTTCTAACAAATTAAATAAAATTGTGACAACCACGCTACTTATGTTGACTTTTGCATATAATGAGTTAAAAAGATTTACTTTAAAAAATGACATATACCCAAGAGTCATTTACAATATTTGTTGGAGTCTTTTCGAATGTTGGATCCACTGGCTTAATAATCTGTGCCGAAAACTATCAAGAGCTTTCAACCCCACAAAGAAATATTTGTTGATTGTCTCCGATGAATGCTTAAATCGCTCCACCGCTCTACTCATCGATTTATTATGTGATAAAATATAGAGAGTTATTACTAGCACATCTTTTGTTGTCATTCTTAAGGAGCCTTAAAGTCCATGATGATTATGTAGTTCATCAAGAGATCCATAAATATACGTTGCCATATGGAACATGTTGTTGAATCTTGTGGGGTGTCCTTGTAGTAGCTCCCTAACCCATTTATCACCAGTATAAGTGGACGTCTTGCAGGGAGTTCGACCGACGTATGAGTGGTAGTATTCCGTACAACATATATATTGTTGTCGCAATTTTTCTTTTGTGCCTCTGTCTTTATGAATCCTTGCTAA